CCTTCTTGAACATTGGGTTTCCATTTAGTAGTAAGTCCTGCAATTTTTAAAATTCATAATGAATATCCAAGTTTGTAATTTTTCTTCAGTGTGGAAAGCCTTGCAGTTGTGACTTTAATTTTATCTGAGAAAGGACTGTAGGATTATATGACTTAACAAACAATTCTCAAATGTTGCCCGATTCTTTCTCATAAGAGACTTTCCAAGAGACATTATGAAGACACATTGATTATCTTCAACTTATTTACTATATGAAAAATTTCTGTATAGTGAAATTATTTGTAAGAATGAAATGGCTGTTTAAAATTACAAGACGATACTGAGTTAGACCTAAAAGAAAACACTGCTGCTTGCTTTTAACTCACACGCACATACACAAGCTCACACACGTCTTTAAATTTGGATTAAGCTTTTGAACTGGCATAAAAATAAAAATGGTGGACTAATTGTTAAGTGAGAGTATTTCATGATCACTTGAATAACATGACATTGCCATGCATGAATAATATGGACAGAGCTGCAGATGGACTTGATCTTTTAGGCAGTGTACAATTGAATGGGACTTTAAAATACCTCAGCCATAATGAATAAATTCCTTTCCTCTATAGCTCTTTGTTGCTGTTATTTTTTATTTTTACTTTTTTTTTAATTGTAGCTACAGTTAGAGAAACTTTATTCAGATTGGAAGTGTAATTATTTACAAATTAAAGAATTGTTTTTGAAATTTTATTATCATTAAGAGGAAGTTTAAAAAGACTGGAATTCCATTGTCTTGTAAAAAGTAAAAAATATTTATTGATTCCCAAATGGAGCTGAAAAAAACCTTTCCTCTTTTAGAAAGTTGTGAATGACCCAGCGAGAGCTCTAGTAAGCTTTACTGAACCAAGCTGCTAATAGTTATTTAATGTTATTCTTCAGTGTGAAAGAATCTCCATAGATTTTCCTTTTAATCTCTTTGAATTGCAGGCTCATAAACCTCTCTGATGAGCCCTGCCAGTGTTTTCTTAGATCCCACTGTTGAGACAATAGAGCCACAGAATTCTTTCACCTCTTGTTGTCAGACAAATCCAATAGAACACAAGGTCAGAAGGGCCTATACTTCTAAAGGTTGAAAGATTCTTTTTCAAGTAACCACATAAATTATTTGATTTTATCATTATATTCCTCAGGAACCTCTCTAACTATAATACACTGCTTTCTATTTGTAAAATAAATTTAGAAGTTTTTCTTGCCTCCTTATTTGACAAAGTTTGTGAGCACAGCACAGGGTGTGAACAGATCTTAGTGTCCCCAGAAAACTTAGAAAAAAAATTGAACCCATTTGCTTCTAAAGAATCAAAGCATGTGTAGTGTCATTAGACTCAAGACTGAGTACACCAAATGCCAGGCAATGCTTTTCTTTCTAAATGGCTGTGGGTTTTTCTTTTCTTTTGTCTTCATCTTTATTTTTAATAGTTATTATCATTCTATAGTAAAAATCCTAGATTCAGATCTTGGATCTAGTCCTTTAGTTAAATCACTAAGGCAGTTTTTTTTTTTTTTCTCAATATTTTTAGTCATGTTAACAGGACAATCTTGAGATAGGACTTAAATTTGTAGATACTTGTTAAAATGTTTCATTGTAGTGAGCAAAATCTTTATAATATGTAATACTACCAAAACAAAAAACAAACAAACAAAAACCTAATCTGTTTTGAAGGTGCTGTGCCTGATTAGTAGACAATTATCAAAATAGGGTTCCTGTGAGTTAATTTAGTGGATAAGGAAGAATTAAGTTTTTTAATTATAACTACAATGGCGGACAAGCAGAGATTATTGTTTAAAGAGGAAAAAAAACACATTTAAGTTGTTTGTTCCTTGTAATTGTAATGGGGGTTGGGGTGGGGGGATGGAATTTGCTGTTGTCCCCTACTTGGACACCTGCCTCTCAACAAAAGATCTTGGTCACCCCCCACCGCCCACATTTAGATTCACCTTTTACTTGTATGTACCCTGTGTGCTCATTATAAGGTTCTCCTGGGATCCAATTTTCCCCTGAGCTAATCATCCCCAGCCTCTTCAGAAGTTAGATTACTATCCTTTCAAAGAATACACACTTTCCTATGAGACACTTATTTAATTTTTCTTTCCTTATGTCTATTAAAAAAATGTAACCATTAGAGTCTCAATATACTACCTTTAAAACTTTTTCTTGAAGTATAATACATATAGAGAAGTGCAGAAATCTTAAGTATAGCTTGATAGATTTTCACAGTCAGCACACCCATTTAGCCAGAAGTCCCCTTGTGACTTCTTCCAGTCATCACTCTCTCTTTTGCCCCTATGCCGTAGGGAACTTTTGCCCCTTATATTTCATATAATGGAGAGTAATCACAAGTGTTCTCTTTTATGTCAAATACTGATTTCTAAAACCAGAATCTCCACAGAAACTTGAGACTATGTGTACATAATATTGAATAATCCATTCAATATAGAGATATTTAGCAGCTATAGAACAAGAATATTTGAATATATTCATTTTCTGACCCCTGACAAGGGACTAACCATTTTGTGTTGTTTTCCCTTTTACAGTGAGAGATGGTCTATGCTAATCTTTCAACCAAGAAATAGGTAGCTACTCTGAAGTTTCTGTGCAAAGAGATAAAGAAGGAAAGATAATAAAAATGTAAAAGCCGTTTTTTTTGAGTGGGTGGAATAATAGAAAGGGTTGCACATGAAATAGTAACTAGGTGAGAATAACAATAGCTTCCCAGTAGAGAAGCAGAACAATACGATGCTGACTTGCTTGGCAGTTATATTTGCAAGTTATTTCTTATTTGTTATTTTTAAATAAAAATGGCATAATGGATATATATGAATGGGTTGTCTTTTTATGCAGTTATATATTACAGGTGTCCAAGGTAGGTTAAAGTGAGAAAGCTCATTCATCGTCATTATTTCTGCCTTTTCCTTCTTTGCTTTATTTGATTTCAAAATTGCATAAGATACTCTAGAGTATAAACAACTTAGTGATAAGTTAACGACACCTATTTTTCCCCTAAAGGGGATGTCTTTTAAGTGTCAATTATTCCCATCCCTAAAATCTTGTTTATTTTCGCTGTTCTAGCAAATCACCTTGGTCTTTCCAGTAAGAAATTAAAATATAAGATTATATTTCCTCATCACGAGACTTTTGGACATAAGACAATAACACATAGCCAAGGGAACTTTATATAAAATGTAGAAATTAATTTTTTTTTTGTTTTGTTTGGAAATTACTTCACACACTGACACATTCTGCATAAGCTCTTTACAGCTATGGAGGAACTATCTTGACCATTAGAAAGAGTCTGTATCTTTGTGTTTTAAGGACAGTTTTGGGACTTTGGGTACCCAGTAAATATGAAGTGGTATAATATTTAATATACCTTAATAGAAAACCATGGCAAGTTCAAAATATTGTATAATCTTTTCATCTATTTTAAAATTGTGTAACTCACCAATAAATTTTGAACAGGCAGTTATTAAATATAATTAAATTGCAGGCATTCATACAACAGAACAAAGGGAGGCATTCTCAGCAAGTGAACAAGAGACTAGTGAGACAGCTAAAGAAAATTTCACTGGAGTGCGGGGTGGATTTTAGGTTCTTTTTTTTTTTTTTTTTTTTTTTAGCATTGACTTCTCGAAGAACAGTACAAGCATACAGGAAATATAACGTGTCTTTAAACACAAAGACACGTGCTTCCTATCTATAGTTGCTTTCTTTGTCCCAAAATACACTTGTTTTAGGCAAGAAAGTACATGCCTGTACTACCTAGACCATGTTCTTACTTATTTAGGTGTGTTCCATGCTCCCTTGGATCTTCCATTGGTAAGAGAAAACTTCAGCAAAGAAAACAGCAGTGGAACATCAACACAGAATAGCTGGGTTGTGGGGCTACTGTTGTATTAAAGTAATTCTTTCTGTAAGTTACTTATTATCCTGTTTCAGTCAGATGACTAATAGCCCCTTACATTTTGGTAGAGCTTTTTTCTTTAAAACATTGTATCATTTTTGATTGGAAGAATACCCATTAGTCTGCTTGAACTGCCATAACAAAGTAACATAGACTGGGTGGCTTAAACAGAATTTTTGACACTTCTGGAAACTGGGAATCCAAGATCAAGGTATTGGCCAGTTCAGTTCCTAATGAGGGCCCTCTTCCTGGCTTGCATACAGCCTCCTTGTTGTCCTCATATGGCCTTTCTCCTGTACATGGGTAGATGGACATACAGAATGATCTCGTGCTCATCTTATGAAGCCACAAATCCTATTGAATTAGGATCTCACCCTCATGACCTTCTTTAAACTTTATTCACTTCCTTAAATAGTCATATTGGGCTTAGGGCTTCAACATATGAATCTGGGTGGGGGGTTGGAGAATAGGGAATTCAGTGCATAGCAATCGTCCTAAAATAAACAAATGAGAGAGTATTTCTGTTGTAGTGATGAAAAAACTGATATACCCAAAAGTTAGAAAGCTGGTAAAATAGCATCTATACATTGCTTTCTTAGCCAGATATAATTTATCTGACAAAAAGTTTTTAAGTCTCACAAAGTAGAGGGTACTGATTATAAACTGCCTTCATGATTTTGTGTGTTGCATATTTGTATTAAATGGGATAAATTTTGACTTAAAGTTTATATGGAATGGCATGTTACATAGAATTTTTTAGTCAGCTAAAGACAGGTAGCCTTAACATTGCTTTCAAAAGTAGTAGACTGGGCTGAGGTTGTAGCTCAATGGTAGAGCACTTGCCTAGCATGCATGAAGCACTGGGTTTGATCCTCAGCACCACAGAAATATAAAATAAAGATATTGTGTCCACCTAAAACTAAAAAATAAGTATTTAAAAAGGCAGTAGACTGAGGTTTTAAATAATAGATAACTAGGAATTATAATGACTATGCTGGAGTTGCCATCTCATTCTTCATAGGTAAAATATCAAAATTAAGTGTCTTATTTTATATTTTACAGAAGATGAGCTAAGAAATTTGGGTCCAGTAGATGCTCAAGTATATCTTGAAGAAATGTCTTGGAACGAAGGTTGGAATTTTTTTTTTCTTTTGGACTAATCTACAGCGAAGAAAAATATTAGGAATTTTTTGAAAGAAAGTAAAACCTCATGAGATGTTTGGAAATTGTAAATAATAGTTTGGTTTTACATGTATTTGTAAATCACAAATACATGGCCTGTTTTTGTTTAATTCTAAACTTCACTTATTGATGTTATTTTTCTACTTTAATTAGATGTTAGGTACATAAGGGTTTATTTTTCATTTGTTTTGTACTACTTTGATTTTTGTATTACTCTCTGTAATAAGGACTTTATTAAAGTCAAAGAGGGTGATTTTTTTCTATTTCTCTTTATGGTGGCAATTGAGATGAATTTCTATTAGAATTTTTGTTCATTTTCTCCCTATATGGAATCCTAAACTCTCAGGAGAGGGCTTTCCATGGAGGCTTTTCCCGTCCCCACCGTAAATTTTTTATTGTCTCTTAATAAGAAAAATCAGTCACTGTCCCTATCATGAGTTCATGTCTTTTCCCCTTTTGTATCATTAAAATTTTAATTTCTGCATTCTTTTGATGTTCCCTGAAAAACTCTGGGTAGACACTATATTATGAAAACTCTTTCCAGACATAATCCATGAGTATCATCATACTTTGATATTTCTCTGGGCAATTGAAGAAAATCTTATTATAGTTTACTAGAATTTTGTATATTCTTAACCTATAACTATTATTCAGCTTGGGGTACAAATTACCTAAAGGATTCTAAAAATGTTCTAATGAGTGTGAATGATAAAAGATAAGCAGAGCCATCCTTTTCCAATGGCAGATTCTTTGTTTATGCTCTAAAGAAATGGGTCACAAGCCATATTGGCTTAGAAGGGTAATCATGTTTTTACCTATTTGACCATTCTGCACTCAACCACTAAAATTAAATTACAGATTCAAAATTCTAATTTTCAGTAAATAATTGAAAGCTTCAGATTGTTTGTTTGGTGTTTTTTTTTTTTTTTTTTTTTTTTGTACCAGGGAGTGAACTCAGGGCCACTCGACCCCTGAGCCCCTTCCCCAGTCCTGTTTTGTATTTTATTTAGAGACAGGGTTTCACTGAGTTCCTTAGTGCTTCACCATTGCTGAGGCTGGCTTTGAACTCACAATCCTCCTGCCTCAGCCTCCCAAGCCACTGTAAATGTATTTTTTTAAGATATAGTTTTCCTCCTGTCCATCAGCATATTTGTGTGTGTTTAATCTATTATTAAACAAATTAATTCTTGTTTTCATTGATAAGTCTAATATACTTTATTTACTGATGATTCCTAATGATGCAAAAATAAGGCAAGCTTGTTGTTATAGTTTTTCTTCTTTTATTTACCTTTGAAATATTTGTTAATAGTACAATTTAATTTTAAATTAAAAATTTAGATTGGTGATTCAAGTACCTTTGTTTAGTATACTTTTTTTTACTACATGGACTTTTTCATACAAATGAATCTACCCAGATATTGAAGAAAATGAAATCATCAAGGCTTATTAGAAATGTTATTGTCCCTGGAATGCTTCAAAGTAAACCATTGTAAAGAAAACAGGATGAATCCCATCCACAGCCAGTGAATCAGTATTAAACAGATATAATTAATCTTAAATATATAGAACAGCTTTGCTTATTTAAGAATTTTTATCATTGTAAAGCTGGAGATAATCCTTGTCCTCCTGAGAGGAAATACTGAACAACAGCTGCATGAAGCCATTATTCTTGCAGGACTACTTAAAAATGAATAAGAGCTGTCTTAGCATATGAAGTTAAATAAAAAGTGTGATCATTTGGGCAAGTAAAAAATTTTTTAGATTCCTTCAGGATTGTTTTCAGAATGGCCTTGGAAGGAGAAGATCCAGAAATGGAGAAAAGCTGATGAAACCCTACATGATGGGTATAGCCAAAGTATCTGCTGCTGGATCAAAGAACAGTATGAAGTGGTGCATTTTCTTATGCTTAAAAGGCATATATACCTGGAACTGTTGAGAGATTGACGCTAACCTTCCCCTTACAAGTTAGTCTAGTGTAACTTGATCATATTGTTGATCTTCATTCACTATATTTAAAATTATGATTTCTTTGAAAATAGCACCTTGTTTCAAAACTTGATGGTAGTAAGAAATTTCAATAAACTTAATTTTCAGTGAGCACTAACATTTGGAAATATCTATGACAAAACTCCACAGTAGCTCATGCTGTCCTCTGTGTCATTTACCAAGCACGTGTCACCTCAGATTGTCTCTTAGTGTTCACTGAGGTGGTAAAAAAACAAAAGAGGGGGAGATTTAGCTTAAAATCAATGAATGGTTAGAATACGTATATTTTTAGACATTTTAACAACAAAACCATTCACTTTGAAAACATGCTAAGTACATGTATATTTGTATATTGCTTAGACAGGGAAGACGAATTTCTGAAATCAAAATTAAATTAGTCTTTGTGGAGAAGAAAGGCATTGTGGGGAAGAATAAAAATCAGGATTGACAGAGTGTATTCATGTTTTTCTTACTGATAAGCATGTAAGTTGGCTTATTGCTCATTTTTTTTTTCAATTTTTTTTTAGTTACATATGGACACAATACCTTTATTTTATTTTTATGTGGTGCTGAGGATTGAACCCAGTGCTTCACATGTACTAGGGTAGCACTCTACCACTAAGCCATAACACCAGCCCCTTATTGCTAATTTTTTTAAGATTGGATTTGATAGAGAGCAATACATTCAGTTTAATTTCTCATTTTTTCATACTCCGTATGAGTTATAAATATTAATCAAGTTTGAAAACTGAATGACAATATTTGAATCATGAATCCTTTGAGAACTCCTTTATCTCTAATAAAAAATTGTTATTGGTAAAATAGATACTGTGATTAATAAGTTGCTTTTCTTTGATAGTTACTTCCCAGAGATAATAAAATGGAAGACCAAAGGAATCAGAAATTCTTTCAGTCCAAGGACACTAGTAATTAAACTTTCCAGAGAGAGGACATACTTAAAATTTCTACCATTTGGAGGAAACCATTGCCTCCTTAGGGCATCTCACTTCAGACAGTTTCCTGTTGGTTTATATATCATGTGTAAACACCAAACAATCAGGTACACATACATCCTCCATTATCGGGTGGGGAAACTGCAAAAAACTATGGTGTTTATATATATTGAAATCATGTGGTACCAGAAAGGAAGTATCCAAATATTATTTAGCTGATAGTCAAGTTACCAGTCATTTCTAAAAGGATAGACTCTAGGCAAAATATCATGCTCCTTTCTCTTTCACTATAATATTTTAGAAAATATATTTTAGAGAATATAAAATTTTTATGATTCTTAATAAAACATTTCACAGGTTGCGTCTAAGCATCCCCCTCCCCCAAATCATTGGACTGTTGATTCATAGCTTTAATACTTCTCTCATCTACAGATAGATGCTTTGGTAATTTTTAGAAACACTGTTCCTTGCAAGAAATGTTTTCCAATTCTCCTTTAAGTACATTTTATCATTATTGAGGGTTTTTGTTTGTTTGTTTGTTTTGCGATTTCTATGGAATAAACTCTGCATTTTTAAAAGTTATAAGAAAAGTAGTTGCTTGTAAGCATTTGAAGTTTTTTTTTTCTTCACAGATGATCATTCTTTTTTTCTGAGTTGCCGATGTGGTGGAAAATACAGTGTTTCCAAAGATGAAGCAGAAGAAGTTAACCTGATTTCTTGTGATACATGTTCACTAATTATAGAACTACTTCATTATGGCTAAAATTGTTGATTACTATTGGACTACTTCAACTGTATATTCAGACATGATGATGAGAGGCCATTCGAGCATTAAGGAAATGGATTTTTTTTCCTTCCCTATTATTTGCAAAGAAACGATAAGATTATCAAGCAGCGATCACCTACATTTAAAGATTAATGTAGTTATTTATATGTACTTATAAACTATATTTACATTGCCATAAAAAGGACTTGAGTTATATTTTATGGATTCCCATCTTAAAACCTTTGTTTTCTCCTTGATAAAACATAAGAATTCTTTTTCTTAACATAAATATGTCTCTTATTGGGAAATATTATTATCATATTCCATTATATTTATAAAGTGTCTAACTGATAATGTTCCCAACAGGTTACAGTTATAGGCCTATTTTATACCTACCTCAAATTCTAGTGTCATTATAATTAAATTAGAATCTCTGTGAACAATATGTGATCCCAGTTCTCCCATAATGAAGGCTGAATACGAAGAATAAAAAATGTGAAGTGACAACTAGAAAAATAGATTTGGAATTAAGACTTGGCTCCAGTCCTGGCCTTCTAGTTCTAAAATTTATGAACCTCACCGTCTTCAACTTTAAGTATAATTTAGAATATGGAAGCTTTAAAAAATAGTCTGAAATTGGTACATCCCTTTCCTTTTTATTTCAAGGTGTTAGGTTTGGTGTTAATTGCCATATTTGTGAATAAGAACCATTTTATTGCTGGTATGATGGACTTTATAAAGTATTATTGCCTACAATAGCCTGTAAATGTCATATTCTTAAAGATGTATTTTTCTATACATTTAATATTCTTGCACAGTCTAAATCAGAACTCATTTAAAGAACTTGATAGAATCTCTTATGGGATCACCGAAACTTTTTTACTTAACTTCAAATGAGTGAGTCAAGCATATAACTTAGAAGCTTTTTACTTAGAATGAACTCCTGATGTTGCAGATTGAACTTATAAATAAGAATAGTTACTATTCTGACTTACTTACTATAGCTGAAGTATAAGGCACTTTCAAGAAGAGTAGATTATTTTCACTTTACTTATATAAGACAAAAAATTTGCAAGTGAGGTATAGTCATTCAGGTCTCCCTGCAGATATTTTATATATAACATAAAATTTAGATGAAACACTGATCTTGGGTTATACTTATTTTTACACAAATATTTTGAACAAGAGTTTGCAGAATGGATTGTTTTTCTTTACATTTAACAAATAACTAAAACTGAACAGCAAATAGTTTATTGGTTAAGTACATGGTTTCAACTGCAGTAATAAATTCACTTGAACAGGAAACAATAATCAAGTCAAAAGAATAAATGCTTGCTAATTATCAGAAAATCTGTGGCCATTTGGGCTGTCTCGTAGAAATCCAAAATCACTCAGAGGCCAGATCTGTAAAACCAAAATGTGATTGAAGAAAATTAATAAAAGTGATGTTGTATAATCATTATTCCCTTTTCCTTTTCATCCATTTTCTCTATGCTAAATAGTTAAATGCTTATCCTTGCTTATCAGTCAAGAATAAAAATTTCTGCATCAGAAAAAGACTGTATAACGAATTAGAACAAATTACAAAATTAAGAAAAATTTTAAAAAAGGGTAAGACTTAGAAAATCACTTGTATGTATTTAAATGTTGAGTTTGGAACATTCAAATATACAAAAAATTCTCTGTGTGTATTTATGAATATATATGTCTGTTACATCTTGAACCTAAAGTTTTTAAGTTTTATGTATTTGAATATAATAATTGTAAAGAATTCTGGGAATTATCCAGTTGCCCCAGATACTCATGTGTTTTTCTTATTATTGCTTATGATTAAAAGGAGCCAGAAAAATCAATAAAAACAATAATCTTCCCTACGAGTTGTACATTTGCTTCAACCACAATAAACTGTCCATGATTCACTGTATTTAGCTAGGGAATCCTTGCTTTATAGGTATTGTGAACCTAGACTGCTCTGCCACAAAATGCTTATTAAAATATGCCCAGATTGTATAAGAGAGAATTAGAACATTCAAATGAAAGGGTTCTTTTGCTACATCAGTGAGTTTTAATTTTATTATTATTGAAAAATCATTCTTAATACCTATTTTGTGAGACTAGGCAAGGGGAGATGAGAATGTTTCATATAGTGGTACTAAGTAAAAGCCAACATGTTATAAAATGTAGTTACTGCAACAGTTAAATCCACTGACATCTTGAAGATTTCAAAGGTTCATTTTGGGGAAATGCAGATAATACAGTTTAGAGAATACAGTAAACATTTTAAGCACAAAACTGTACCTTAAAGAAGATTCGTCCTCTTATTAGTCCATATGGAATAGGTCCATAATACCTGGAATCTGTAGAATTCTGTAAATTATCACCTTCTAACCAAACATGACCTGTTGGCACCTAGAATGACAGAATAAGAGCAGCAGCCCCTTGAGAAACAATAAAATCTAATTTAGGTACTATCATTAAGAAGTATGTCATTTGGAATAGGGAGAAATATCCTAAAGTTTCTTTTAAAATACATACAAATCCTAAGTTGCATTTTTGCTTCTATTATTTCCTACACAATAAAATAAATACCAAAGGTTCCAATTTTTTAAAAGACCTGTCTTTTTTATAATCATACTGTTCTCAAACAGTAATTTGTTATACAAACCCCAAACTGAGGTTACAAGAGATCAAAACTGTGACAGGGTCATTAATTTAATAGACTTCAAAAGAGGTCATTAGGATACTGACTGAAAATGTGCCCTCCTGTCTCAATAACAGCATAAGCAGGGCAGCCACTCACTCAGCAACATCCTGGGGCCAATACCAAGGCCAGACCTATTAGAATGCTCATGATGAACTAAATGGTAATTGATTGTGACATCAATTACAAATAATCTCATCATTTTATTGGAGTGGGCTTGTCAGAATTCTAATTAAGATCCCTGTTCTGCTTTTGTACAGGCCATATCTTCAATGCATTATACTTTGATAATGACCATCAAGAACCAGAAGGACCTATTATAAAATCATCAGTCGTAAAATGAATGATGGTGACCTTCTACTAAATGAAAAAACTCTCTCATATGTTCTGAGTATTAACTGGTATTAAATAAGTTTGAATTTTTATTCAATGATGATCCATATAGTTAGAACAAAATACATTACTTAAAAAAATGCCTTCTGCAATTTGAGATATTTGCCTACCATTTACTATTATCTGTTCAATTTAAACTTAAAAAATTACTCTCTAGAAACAGTCTTTAAAATTGCCTTTGCCAAGCTGTTATTTTATAGTTTTTGTTACCCAAGAAAATTTAATCATTCACCAGAAAATGATCTATTGGGAAGGAATTTATTTTCACTATTTCAATTGGTTTTGATAAAAGAGACTGCATTTTTTAGAATGATGAATCATATTTTGGAAAAAAAAATTATGCAAGCATGAAATTTTAATTTTACTTTAAAGAGATTCTGATTCCGAAATAGCATGTATCAGATACGAGTATTTGCCCAGAAACCTTTAATAATTTGCATGCAGCACTTCACATTTAACACTGAAATGTTAAATCTATTTTGTAAAAGTGGATATGTTTACTAAAAGAATATCAGAGAAAACCCAAGTGTATTTATGTGTACAAAAGCCAGATTGGAAATATATACATCAAAATGATAAAAAAAAATCAGAGTCTAAGATCACTCATTTTTATTAATGAAACTTACAAATCCTAGGGCCAATAAGCAAGATTAGTTCCTACCAATTCAATAAAATAGACAAATACAGAGAAACATTAAGATTGATCAAGAAGAAAAATGAGTATAAAATGAAAACAAAATAGTGAAGTTGGAAAAGCCATACATAACCAACATTCTCAAGTATTAAACTGGGAAAAGACATAAGGTGAGGAATTTTTTGTGTTTAAATTTCCATAATTGCTCAAGATGCTTGTTCCTGAGTTTTAAAAATACGTGATAGGTATGAATAAAAAAGGGGCACTATTATAAGCAAAAGAAAAACATTCCACATACTAATAAGACAACATGCCAAAAATCTAAGGAGATTTCTATCCCTCTGACCATAAACCAGGATCCATGGTTTATACATTGATCTCTCCCTGAAGTTTTCCCCAAACTTATCTGCCTATACAAAATTCTCTTGATTATTTAGGGTATAAATCATGTAGTCAGCCTTGCTTGAGGCCATGGATTATGATCTTTTTACTTTCTTGGTTTTTGTCTAAGTCTTCACTATTTTATGAGAAATTAGGTCAATAGGTAGTAATGTCATGATTTTAATTATTTTGAGTATTACTTTCATTATCATTACTTTCATAATACCAAAAATTATTAAATTTTTGCCAACCAGATTGTAAAAAAATGGTACCTTTGTGTGTTCATTTGCTTTTGTCTTATTATGAATGAGGCTGAATCTCTTCATGTGTTTAAAAGCCATATATAGAATTCCTTTTCTATGATCTCTCTTTGCATGTCTTCTGCCCTCTGTCTATTGGGTTGATGATCTCTTTCCTCCTTTCAAAGGAGCTCTTAAAATATTATGAAGATTAGCCCTTTGAGATAAAAATGACAAATACTTATTCCCAGTTTGTCATTTGTCTTATTAATCTCTGCTTTTATGACTTCTGGATTTTGAATCATAGTTAGAAAGATTTTCATGGTTCATTTTTTATATTTAAATATCCTTTTGGAATGTATCCTGAAAGATGCGTTGTACATGGTTTAGAATATTTTAAATTTCTGTTGATGTAAGGGGCTGGAATGTAGCTCAGTAGTAAAGCACTTGCCTACCATGCATAAAACCCAAGATTACTTTTGTGATAGTTATGGTAAGTTTCTTTTAAATTATTGAAATAAAATACTGAAGTATCTCAGTAAGATTAATAATACAGGAATCTTCTGAAAGAAGCCCAGAACTTATCACCAGGAACCTTGGGGAGGAAAGTGACCCACGCTCTCTATATCTAGTCCTTAATTGCCAGGGTTGGTACCAAGGGGAGGAGGAGTAAAATCAGCATCCATATGTGGATTTTTTAGTTAATTTTATTGGATCCTTAAAACAACCTGTGAAATGCTGTTCCTGATGTTTTATAGAAGAAATAGGTTCAAATATGTGACATGATATATCCTGCTCCTCTGAAGCTCATACATGGTACTACAGCACCATGCCTCCATTTATAGTAAAGGAATAATACATCTCATGGACTTAACACTTCATGTTAAGTACACAAACCAAGAACAAGAAAACAACCTGATCACTGATATTACCTTTCATCTAACAAGAATGTCTCTTTATTACCCCTATACCGCCTCCCCATTCCTCCCTCCCCTTTGCCCTATCTAGAGTTCATCTAATTCTCCCATACCCCCACCCCAACCACATTATGAATCAGCATCTTTAAGTCAGAGAAAACATTTGGTATTTGGTTTTTGGGGACTGGCTAACTTCACTTAGCATTATATTCTCCAACTCCATTTATTTTCACTATTTCAATTGGTTTTGATAAAAGAGATTGCATTTTGGGGGAACTGGCTAACTTCACTTAGCATTATATTCTCGAACCATCCATTTACCTGCAAATGCCATGATTTTATACTCACGAATGGTGTGACTCTACTTTGCGTACAACCAGAGATATGAAAAATTGTGCTCTATATGTGCAATATGAATTATAATGCATTCTGCTGTCATATATAGCAAATTAAAATTTAAAAGTAAAAAGTAAAAAAAAAAACACATTAAAAAAACAAAAAACAACAACAAAAAAACACTTCTCTTTAAATAGGAAAACACCCAAATGCAGATCTTTAAAAATCAAAGTAGTCACTTTTGGTGACTTTTCAATTATGGTCTAGTGTAGCAAATTCATCATGTTTGAAATCATCCTACTTTTGAAATATATAACTTTTGGGCACTAGGGAGAAGAGTGTATGCTTTCACTTTAAGAGTCAATTTCACACAAGTACACTTTTATATACAGTAAAATGCACCCCATTTTAAATTTGAAAACAATATGTACACATCCAGGTAACTACCACCTCATTGGGAAGAAGATACAGAATATTTCTATTATATCAAAATGTTTCCTTCTGTTCCTTTGTAGTTAGCTTCCCAACTCCACACCCAGGCTCAGACAACTAGACTTCTTTGATATTAGAGACTAATTTGCATATTTCTGAATTCCATTAAATGGACTTGCAAACTATATATATTGTGTCAGGCTTCTTTCACTCAGCAAGATTTTATGATTAATCCAGGCCGAATGTGTCTGTCATTGGCTCTTTTTTTTACAGCTGAATAGTACTCCACTGCAAACTGCAATGTTGTTGGTGGTTGTTTGTAATTGGGGGTTGTTATAAATAAAGCCCTATGAACATGCACATACAAGTCTATTTCTTTTCAGTAAATAGGTATAATTTCTGGGTTATTAGCATATATAAGTTTTATCTTAAAAGAAACTATGAAACTTTTCCAAAATCACATTATTTTATATTCCCTAAAGCAATGTTTGGCTGTATTCCTGTTGTTGCATCTCTGTGGTGATTTAAAATTTTTTTTGCTATTCTAGTAGGCAAAAGGTATTACCTGTGGTATTAATTTGCACTTCTCTGATAAGCACTTTTTTATTCTTATTAGTGCATCAATTGTAAAGTGCATTAAAATATTTTGGCCATTTTAAAAGTGAGTTATTTATCATCTTGTTGTAAGAGTTCCTTATAAAACCATGGATACAAGTCCCAGGACAGTAACTGCAAATATTTTCTCCCAGTCTGAATTTATTTCTTAAATGACTTTTTTGTTATAGCTGGACACAGTACCTTTATTTTATTTATTTATTTTTACATAGTGCTCAGGATTGAACCCAGTGCTTCACACATGCTAGGCAAGTGCTCTATCACTTAGCTGTAACCCTAGCACCTTAAATGACTTTTTTGATAAACAAACATTTTTAATGTTTCTGAGGGCCAATTCATAATCCTTTTCCTATTATCTTCCATATTTTGGTGTCCTAAGAAATCTTTACTTGCTCCCAATTTGTGAATACACTACATTTCTTCTACAAGATTTAGTTTTAGCTTTATGTATACATATAAGCTTTATTTTGTGAGGTATCCATTGAATCTGGTTTTTGTTCCTAAACTCATTCTTTCTTTTTGATTGGGTATATTTTGAATTCCATTTTATTTCTTCTGTTGGCAGAATATGCATCTTATTTCTGAAGTTACTGCTCTAGGGTTTAGAACAGTACAAATCTTTAATCACAGTCCACTTTCACATGAGGTGTCATTACCTCCACATATCGTATTGCTTCATGTAAGATATAAGGATTTTACAATATACAGTTGGTCCTATGTATCCAGAGTTCTGCATATGTGGATTCAACCAATTGGAGGTT